GTTAAGGGCACTGGACTCCCACATGGCCGACCATGGTTCAAGCCCTAGACCTGGCAGCTTGCTTCCTCACTTTCTGTCTCTTTCTTCCTTCCTTTTCTGGTCAAATTAAAATAAATAAATAAATAAATAAATAAATAAATACATCTTACATGAGGAATTTAGAATTATATAAAAAATGAATTATTTAACTATGTTTTATTTAACTGTATTCCTTTAATTAATTTGACCAGAGAGGGACAGTGTGAGAGAAAGTGGGAAACTGAGAAAGCAAGCTACCAAGTCCAGGACTCGAACTGTGGTCAGCCATGTAGGACTCCAGCCCCCTTAACCACCATGCCACCTGCTGGCCCCATCTGTTTTACTTTATCTTCTCATTTCTGGAACCCAGAAGCACAGCTGAATTGATAGCCCAATGGATATACCAACATATGTAGATACATGCGAGGTCTTCAGCAAGCTCCTGGAAGAGGCTACCAGTGGCATGGCGCTCAAGGTTCTGGACTCCCATGGCTGACAGCAACTGGAGTCCTGTACCTGGTGGCTTGAAAAATCACACTGGGTGCATGTGCGTGCATGTCCAAAATCCCGGGAGGAGAATGGGGGAGAAGGGACTGAGGTGTGGCCATCCCCCCACCCCGGGGATGATTTCTCATTTTCCCTCTCTGTCTCTCTTCAGTGTACACATACCCTGTGGCAAAAACCTGAAACAAACAAGCAAACAAAGTTTATGGAGGGTCAACCCTGCAGCTCAGCTGTTAAGAGAGCTGGATTCCACATGGCTATCCTAGTCCTGGTGTGCTCCATGTGCCCAAAATCCTGACAAAAAGGAGGAGGGGAGGAAAAAGGATTATTTTGTAACCATGCTTCATTGGGGGGTGCTTTTTTCTCTGGCTAGTGTGTGTACCCTCTGACAGTTAAAACAAAGCAACCTGAGGACAGCAGATGACGCAGTTGTTAAGGAACCGGACTTCCACATGGCCAACAGCAGTTGGAGTCTCCGACCCAGACCCGGTGTCTTGAAAATCACACTGGACGTGTGTGCGTATGTGAGCCATTTTCTCTGGGGAATGATTTATTTATTCATCTATTATTATTATTTTTCAGTTTGACCAGAGAGATAAAGAGAAAGTGAGAAAGCAAGCTGCCAGGTCTGGGACTCGAACCGCAGTTGGCCATGTGGGAGTCTGGCACCTTCAACCACCACGCCATCTGCTGGCTCCCCCAAAGGGGTGATTTCTTACTTTTTTCTCTCTCTCTTTCTGTGTATCTCTGTCTCTCTCTAGTGGGCACACACACCGTTTAACAAAACAAAACTCAGATTTTTTTCTATGGTGCTCTCTCTTTCTGTGTATCTCTGTCTCTCTCTGGTGGGCACACACACCGTTTAGCAAAACAAAACTCAGATTTTTTTCTATTTCATAATTCAATCTCCAATTACCCAAATTTATATATCATACATTACTTGTTTTCTTTCCTTCTTCCTCCTTCCCCATCCTTTCCTTCCACCCTTCCTTTCCTTCTTGATGAAAAATTCCCTTGGCCTATGTAGGAAATAGTACTTTAAAGTCTCCTATAAATGAGCTATGGGCCCTGGGTAGGGCCAGCCATAACAACATGTTCAAGCAACAAAATGAACAAAAGAACCTTTGGAATGCACCTGGTTGTTCAAAAATAGCAGGTGGTTGTTAAAAAAAAGGAAAAAAGACTCTAAGGAATTCAAATTTCTCTTTAAGGATTTTGTTGCTACCCTTCCAACAGAAATTACCCATGAGAGCAGAGTAAGTCTTGCTATATGAGCACTGTATCTCCAGAGCTTCCAGGTCCTTAATTTTTTTTATAGAATTATTTTATTTAATTTTATTTATTTTCATTTGACCAGAGAGGGACAGAGTGAGAGAGAAAGAGAAAGTGACAGCAAGAAAGCAAGGTGCTAGATCTGGGACTTGAACCACAGTCAGCTACATGGGAGTCCAGCATCCTCAACCACCACGCCATCTGCCGGCCCCTCTAAGTACTTTCTTATATGAACAGTATTTTCTAAAGACTGTAGTTTCTGTATTACTTGCACATTTGCGTTTATTTTGTCCTTGATTACTATATATACTTTTTTTTTTTCATTTTTTTAGAGAGATTTTTGATATAAGGGTGTGTGCACTGGCCACATGCCTTTTGTGAGTTTCAAGCTACCAGGTCTGGGACTCAAACTGCAGTTAATCACGTGGTGGTTGCCTTAACCAGCATATCACTTGCTGGTCCCAAGGAATTTTTTCTTAAAATATTGATTTATTTATTTCCATTTGTTATTATTACCATTTTTTTTTTAAATTTGATGAGCGGGAGGGAGAGAGAGAGAGAAAGGGAAAGTGAGAAAGCAAGCCCAAGTACAGAACTCTAACTGCTGTTGTCCACGTGGGAATCCAGCACTTTTAACCACCATACCACCTGCTGGTCTTCAAGGTATTTTTTTTTTTAAATGCACACATATGCACATACACACATGAGGTCATCAAAAAGTTCATGGAATTATGAAAGTTAAGTATAGATTTTTAGAGCAAACTTTTTTTTTTTTTTTGCAATTTATGCACAGTTGTGTCCAGCAGAGAGTATGGTGGTTAAGGCACTGGATTCTCACATGTCTGACTTCAAGTTTCAGACCTGGCAGCTTGCTTTCTCACTTTTTCTCTCTTTCTCTGTCTCTCTCTGGTGAGTACATGTGCCCTGTAGCAAATTAAAAAAAAAAATTAAATAATTCTAAAAAAAGTATGTACAATGTTTTCATAATACACATTTGCTATGAATTGTGAAGACCCTTCGTGTGCATGTCTATATGTGTGCATATCCTGTAAATAATATGTTGTAATTAAAAAAATATTTTTAAAAGTATTAGTATAAGGACCAGCAGTTAGTGCAATGGCTACGTTGCTGAACTCCCCCGTAGGCGACTGCGGTTCGAGTCCCAAACCTGGTGGCTTAAATTTATGCCGGGTACATGTGCATTGGTGCCCAAGATCCCAAGAGGAGAATGGAGGAGAAGGGATTGCGGCATGGCCATCTCCTCTGGGGGGGTGATTTGTCACTTTCTATCTCTCTGTCTCTCTCTTTCTGGCAATCCTATGCACTCTGCACCCAAAACCTCTCCAAAAAAAGAAAAGAAAAGAAAAGAGAAGAAAAGAAATGGGTTTGTACTGTACTACTAGGAACTGGCTGTTGAATTAAATTAGCATTTCAGAAGCATCTATTTAAATCCATATTGTTGACACTACAGTGAAAGAAAGCAGTGAAACTTGTCAACAGATGATTAAGTTTTATGGCTGATTTTCACAGTTTTGTAGCTTGGGACCAATATCAAGTTGCTGGGAAAAACATCCTTCCTCTCTCCCTACCCTCCCTGTATCATTAAACCAGGGTCTCTGCCTGTTGGTGTTAGGTGTGTCCTCTGCACGAAGCTGTATACAATCATTCTTTTTGTTTTGTTTTGTTTTCCACTCATCCATATGATAAGAACTACTTCAATTCCGCCCCTCCTCCTTCTGGGACTAGAAACGTTGGATGATTCTATATTCCACTTCGCTTGCTACTTTTTCAATTCCCGAGACCACCCGTTAGTGTATTATTTCTGGGTGAGTGCAACAACCTTTGCAAGCAGCTGGAAGAGGTACCCGCGTCCCTAGGTTACTGGCTTTCCACTGACTAGTCTTTCAAGAAACCGGCGCTGTTCCCACGGAAATTAACAACCATTTAATTCGGAAAGGCTTGAAATCTTAGGGCCAAAGTGGACGGGGGGGTGGGGGGATAAGTTGTTATGGGTTGGGTTACTGTTTGAGAAGGGCAAACGGAAGTTAGTGAACGGATAGTGTCAGGATGGGACTTTATTAAACGACACATTAAATTGCACGCAAACTAACCCTCTGCTGGCCCCAGAGGCTTAAAAAAATTTTTTTTAAGCTTCACAAACCCCATTTCAAGTAAGATTTAGGAAACATGGATTAGTATAAATTCAGTCTGGGTGTTTCCAAGATCACCTCCTCCGTCACCTCAACGCGAAAACTGGGCACAGGTGTGACAATTTTGCAAAAGCAGTTCTCGAAACTATTTTCAATGCTACATGGTGCACCCTAGGAACTTCGCGAGTGGAAAGGACGTTCCGCAGCGCGTTTTCTCCCGGGCTTGCCACCTTTCTGCCTTCCCCGATCCCGCCGCTCCCAGCAGCCAAGGGGCGTTTGTTTATGTGACGTCCGCCGTAGTAAGCAGTCCCCGCCCCGGTTTCCCTCTGGCCGCCGCGTTTCCCGCGCCGCGACGCTTCTCCCCTTAAAAGGACAATAGAGGCCCCGGGAGCGCGCGCCGCCGCCTGGCCTTCTCCCCTCCCAGCCCGCTACGCGCGCGCGCCCGCATGCAAATAAGCTCGATTCAAGAGAATTTTGTACCAGGAGCCGCGCGTGCGCAGAGGGAAAGCGGAATCTACACCTTCCCGGCCAGCGGTAGCAACTGCAGAACTGCAGGAGACAATCTTTCTAGACAAGGCAGTTGAGGAGGAGGGAGCGCCTGGAGGGGGGCTTGGTCTGGCGTGCACTCCGCACCTCGGGAACGCTCTTGCGCGTGGAACGGCTGCGGTAGGTGGGTGGCTGTAGCGATGACTCTGGTGCAAAACGGTCTCACGAGGCTTTGCTCTCAGAGTGGTTCTTTTCTCTCTTTCACCTCACCCGCCTCCCCCCGTCCTTCCCCACACACAGGAAGTTTTGTCTTGGAGATGGCATTGCGAGGAGCGCTGCCTGCGCGATCGCCAGACCCCAGATTCTTTCGTGTACACATGTTTCGTGTGTATTTGCTGCTCGGGGAGGGTATTTCAAGCAAACCGAAAGTCTCAGGGTGGGGGAAGTGAGTGGAGCCTGGAAATAATCAAGGAGTCGCGGAGTTGAGGGATTCACGTTGAAGGTGACAATGACTTTTCTCAACCGCAGTGTTCTCTGGTTCTCAGGCTGAAAGGCCCGAGACAAAAACGACTTGCTGGCAGTCTCCGATCCGCCCGGGGACGGCGCGTCCGCGTGCCCCGGCCGGGGTGGGGCGCCGTTGTTAACCCTCGTGGCTGAGTTTATGGCAGCCCCTTGCGCGTGTTTTCGTAACGGTGGACAATAAACGCCAGCCGCTCAAAACTAAGTTGCCATCCCCTTCGGAGCCGGCGGCGTGAGGGGGTTTAAATCGGCCTTTGGGGGTCAGTGCTGGGCTCTGCCGGAGCGCACGCGGCGTGGCGTTGTTTGCTCAACTCCGGAGGGATGCGGATGCGACAATGAGAGCAACACGCGGTCGCTCAAAAACAGCCCCAGCTTCCAAACGCCCGCGGTCCTCGGGCCGCGCCCAACAGCGCCTGGCGTCCGAGGTGGCTTTGGAGCCCGAAGTTTTGCCACGCATTTGTTCACCTGTGGCGTAGGTGTGGGCGCTCCGGCGGGGCGGCCGCGGGCGGGCTAAGATGGCCCGTTGGGCTCTGTGGACCCGGGGATGGAGGCGGTGGCGCGGTCTGCCGGAGGAGCCAGCGCACTCGGGAGGGCACTGCTTTTTGTGCTCAACATGACAGACCACGTGCTCCGGGCTGCGACCCTGGGCTTGTCGGAATGACCAGCTCCTTGTTAGCGTGGGCTGCGGTCGCCGTCGGGGAGGTCGGCGGGCAGGACAATGTGATTTGCTGATGATGGCGTCTTGCCAGTTTAAAAAGCAGAGTGAAAGTCGCCAACTCTGCGCCGGTGCGGGGCGGGCGATCCGGGCGTTTCTCGTCAAGGACACTGCAAAACTTTGATTAAATGGGCTCGCCGCCGAGGGGACGACCGCAGGACCCGGCTCCCGGCCCTCGGGGCGCGGGGTGCGGACCCTCCCGCGGAGTGATCGGCCGGTGTCTCGCCCCTGAGCAACACCCCGGCATCCCTGATGCTGCACGTAGGCAGCGCCCGGCTGGACAGAAAACAAAGAGCTGCATGTGCCCGTGCGGGGCCCGCGGCGCTCGGGGCGGCCGCAGGGCGGAGGGCGTGCGGGTCGGGGGCCCCCGAAGTTCGGGCAACGTTCAGGAGGGGCTTTTGTCCCCCGGCCCCTCGTGGGGAAACTTTGGCGGCGCTACTTGGGTGAGGTGCCCTGCTGGTGCGCAGGAGGCGGCGTGCTTCCCCGCCCCGGGCGCGCGGGCGGGCGGAGAGGGCGGCGGGGCCGGCCCGGGGGCTTCTTCCAGGGCCCGCGGCCGCCTGGGACCCGGAGAGCGCGGCCCGGACGCCCCCGCCCGGGAGCCCCGGGC